GCACCCTTCGGAAAAGCTCTCCGGCCCGAGGCCTCCGCATCGCGCGGATCTCAAAACCGGCCGCGACACCGAGCGAAGCCGACCCGCCGCCCGTGGCGAGGAGTGCACGGGCCCGCGGCGTGCGCGGGCCCGTGGAGAGGAGTCCACGGGCGCTGGCCGAGGGCAGCGATAATACCGAGGGGGGGGCAGAGCCGCGCCCCGATGTGTTTCAAGACCAGGTCTTTGGAATTCGTGCTGAACCCCACGATTTGTTGAATGCATTCTAACATCCCCGGATATTGCTCAAGACCGGGTCTTTTGAGTTCATTCTAAAACCCTTGGATATTACTCAAGATCGTTTTTTGTGGTTGAATTCATGCAAAAACCTTAGTTTTTTGAATTCACTCCACAATCCCCAGATATTATTCAAGACCGGGTTGTTTGAATTCATTATAATACCCCCGGATCTCTCAAGACCGGGTTTATTGAATTCATTCTAAAACCCCCGGATATTATTCAAGACCGGGTCTTTGGAATTCATTATATACCCCTGGATATTACTCAAGACCAGGTTTTTTGACTTCATGCTAAAACTCCCGGGTTTTATTGAAGACCAGTTTTTTAATTCATTCTAAAACCCCCGGATGTTACTCCAGACCGGGTCTTGCCGTCTTCCTCCAGCCCTGTTGCTGAGTGCCTGCTCGGCCTTACCCCACCCCACTGCTCCTCCCCACTCAGGTCACACCTGACGCAGCTGGTCGCAGCAGCTGTCGCCGCAGCTGATCCCCCCCCTCTGCTTCTACTCCTACTCGCCCCTCCTCCTCCTCCTCCTCCTCCTCCGCCTCCTCCTCCTCCTCCTCCTCCTCCTCCTCCTCCTCCTCCTCCTCCTCCTCCTCCTCCTCCTCCTCCTCCTCCTCCTCCTCCTCCTCCTCCTCCTCCTCCTCCTCCTCCTCCTCCTCCTCCTCCTCCTCCCTCCTCCTCCTCCTCCTCCTCCTCCTCCTCCTCCTCCTCCTCCTCCTCCTCGCCCTGTCTTCCCCTCTTCCCCGCCCTCCATTCCCCCCGCTCCGCCCCGTCTCTCCCCTGCCCGAAGGCCCTTTTTGCGGCCTCCCGCAGCCGCTTGTGTGGCGCTCGGGCGCCGCAGGGCTCGGGCGCGTGCCCCCCCCCACCCCCCCGGGAGGTGGCACCGAGGGGTGCGCGTCATGGGGGCCAGCGCGCGTGGCCGCGCCGCGCGTTTGTTCTGCATTTTCTTTATATTTATATATATACATATACACTGAGTTTCTTTTTTTATATTTATATGGGTATGTATGATGTGTGTATGTATGTATGGATGTCTGTATGTATGTATATATGCATGCATGTATGTATGTATGTATGTATGTATGTACGTATGTATGTGTGTGTATGTATGTATGGATGTATGTATGTATGTATGCATGTATGTATGTGTGCATGTATGTATGTATGTATGTATGTATGTATGTATGTATGTATGTATGCATGGTTGTATGTATGTATGTATGTATGTATGTGTGTATGTATGTATGTATGTATGCATGTACGTATGTATAGATATCTAAATATAAATATAATTGGCGCGGGCCAGCGATCCAGCAGGCGTGGGATCGCGGCCCGCCCTCGCCCCCCGATTCGTTCCGGGGGCCACGGGGCGGACCCTGCCCCTGCCCCCCACGACTTCGGAGGGGGAGGGTGGGGTTCACGTCGTTCGGGAGCTCCCGAGCGAGGTGAACCCCCCCCTCCCCCTCAGAAGTCGTGGGGGGCAGGGGCAGGGTTCGCATGTTGGGCCCCCTTATTGCTATCCCAGTTCGCCCTGGAGTTGGAAAGGGAAGACTCCCCCACCGCCCCGTCCTCTCCTCGTGGGGGGGGGCGGGGGGAGACGGCGCTCCCACGGCGGCGGCGAGAGGCAAACCGTTTTTTTTGTTGATGTTATTCTAAAGCCCCCCGGATATTACTCAAGACCGGGCAGGAGGAGGGGGAGGCGGAGGCGCAGGAGCACCAGAGGGGGAATAAAGCGACCAGCTGCGTCAGGTAGGACCTGGTTAAAAGACGAAAGTAGTAGTGCGGGAGGAGAGCAAGGAGGGAGGGCGGAGCGGAGCAGGAACGCAGCAGCAGGGCCGAAGAAAGGGGGGGGGGGAAACGGGGCAGGGCTGGAGGAAGGGAACGACGAGACGCATCAGGGGGAGGGGTGGCGGAGGAGAGGAGCAGGAGGAGCGAGGAGGAGGAGCGAGGGAGGAGGAGGATAAGGAGAAGCAGCAGGAGGAGGAGAAGGAGGAGGAGGAGACGGAAGAGGAGGAGGGGGAGGAGGAAGAGTCAACGTCCCGTAGAAGGAGGAGAAGGAGGAGGAGGAGCAAATGAGGGTCGTATCGGCTTGGGCAGTCCGCCGGAAGACCAGGTCGTGCCTAGCCACTCGTCCGCCTCACGCATGGGGGGAAGCCACGTCCGCTCTCGCCGGGGGCAGCCCCTCCGCGACAGGCGCGAGGGCACCCGACTCTGCCAGCTCCCTATAGGCCGAAGAGGAGCAGGACTGGGGCGAGGCAGAGCAGGCGGGCGGCATGGGGCAGGCGAGTGGAGGCGACGAGGGCGGAGGCGAGGAGCGAGCGAGGGAGGGCGAGGGCCGGCGAGGCAGAGCGAGGCAGAGCGAGGCAGAGCGAGGCAGAGGCGAGCAGCGAGGCGGAGCGAGGAGCGAGGCGCGGGAGGCGGCCGGCGGCGTCCCTGGGGCCGCACCGAGCCCCCCTCCCCCCCTCCTGAGATCCACGAGAAGGGCGCGAAGATCCAGGAGAAGGGCGGGAACGAGAACAGCCTCGCGGGGGGGGGCGGCGGGCCCGCGCGCGGAGGGGAGGCGTGTCTACGGAGGGGGGCGGAGGGGGAAGGGGGGCCCCTCCGCATCTTCCTCGTCCTCTTCCTCCTCCTCCTCCTCCTCCTCCTCCTCGTCCTCCTCGTCCTCCTCGTCCTCCTCCTCCTCGTCCTCCTCCTCCTCCTCCTCCTCCTCCTCTCCCTCCCTCTTCCTCCCCCTGCGCTTCCTTATCCATATCCTCCTCCTCCTCCTCCTCCGCCTGCTGCTCCTCCTCCTCTTCTTGCCTCCGCGGGTCGCGCCGCAGGCGCAGACCTTTGCGGGCGATGCCGCACAGGGGCGGTCGGATTTCCCCGGTCCACGCCTAGAGCGTGCCGAAAGGGCGCCTCGCTCCTCCTCCTCCTCCTCCTGCTCCTCCTCCTGGTCCTCTCCTCCTCCTCCTCCTCCTTCTCCTCCTCCACTTCCACCTTCACCTCCACCTCCTCCTCCTCCTCCTCGTCCTCCTCCACCTCTTCCTCGTCCTCCTCGTCCTCCTCCTCCTTGTCCTCCTCCTCCTCCTCCTCCTCCTCCTCCTCCTCCTCCTCCCTCTCCTCCTCTCTACCTCCGGGCCGGAGAGGGAGCGAGGGAGGGAGGGGAGAAAGGTGGACGGGATCAGTTTCGGCCCCGACCCCAACGCCCCTTTTCCCCGTCTCTGCAGCTGCTGGTCTAAAGCCGTGGGACCTGATGGCACAAAAGCTGAAAGGCTGAAAGGTGAGGATGAGTGGGGGTAGAGGGAAAGATTAAGGAGGGATGAGGGAATACGGAAGCGGAGAAGGATGCGGGATTAGAGGCCTCCTGGATGGGGTCCGAGTAGATGGGGTCGCAAGATCCCGCCGCATCACCGATACATCGGCGATGCATAGGCGATGCATCGGCGATGCACTGGCGACGTCGGCGACGCATCGGCGACGTCGGCGTGGGGAAACTTTGGCCCCACGTCGAGCCGCATCGCAGATGCATCGGCGATGCTGCGCGATCCTCCGACCCCATCTGGGCGACATAGAGGGACGCAAGCGGGGGACCAGAGTGTTGTCTGTTCCGGGCTCTCCTTCCCGTGCTTCGTCCGCCTGCTGCTGCCGATGTACCCAGCCACTGTTCGTGCTGCTGTCCCTGCCCACGCTGCGCTACCCCGTCCTTTCCCCGACTTCACATGCAATCCAAGTCCATATTAAAGATGCACTGTCTGGCCATCGCTCGGACGTCCATTCCCTGTGTGTTGTTCGGTTTCGTGCGTGGCTTGTTCGCCAAATGATCAAGGATGCTCCTCTATGGTCCTCGTCAAAAGAAACATGCACACGTCCGAGCGATGCCAAGCCGTAAGGATGCAAGACCCTTGGCAACCAAGTCTGCCATGTAGAGCTCAATGGACGTCAACATTGGCTCTGGAAGGGCCGAATAGCCAGCAGGGATGCAAGGGCACCCTTGACGACGCAGCGCATCCTCACTACCTGTGCGGATACCCTTCGGAAGATAAGGAGGCTGGGGGAGGGAACGGAACCACCTGCTGGCAACTGCGAGCTGCTGGTGGCGCGCCCTCAAATTGGCGACGACGCGTGATGACGGTGTTGCGCCGCGATGGGATGTTACTATCGACCCCGCTATCGATATGACTCGATCGATCTCACTATCGACCTCATGGCGAGTCTTGGTATCGATGGATCCAGTGATCGATCTCACTACCGATCTCACTTGATCGATCTCAGAACCGATCTCACTATCGGTCTCACGATCGATCTCACTCAGCCGATCTCGCCGTCGATTACACAGTCGATCTCACAATCGATCTTACGATCGATATTACTATCGATCTCACTCGACTGATCCCACTATCGATTTCACATTTGATCTCTGAAGCGAGATCAATCGATCTCACCATCGAGCTCACAATCGATGACACTATCGATCTCACTGTCGGCCTCGCAATCGATCGCACCATCGACCTCACTGTCGATTGCTCCATCGATGCAACTATCGATGAAACCATCGATCTCACTATCAATCTCACTGCGCATCGCATGATCGATGCAACTACCGATCTCACTATCGACATCACGAGTCGATCCGAGTATCGATCTGACCACTGATCTCACCAAATCTCGGTCGTTATCGATCTCACTATCGATCTCACCATCGATCGGGACACCATCGGGACACCACGGCGGGACTCCGCGGGACACCGCCGTACACCAACACGGGACACCGCGGGACAGCACTGGGACACCGCGGGACACCACGGGACATCACGAGACACCATCGGGACACCACGGCAGGACACCGCGGAACCCCACCGGGACAAGACGGGACACCCCCAGCAACCGCGCGCCCACTTTAGGGCCGGACTTTTGCAGCCGAATCGCCCTGGCGACGGCGAAATCGTTCCCTTCGCGCGCCCACTCGGGAGCGGCCAAGAAGGGGGTGTCCAAGAGGGGGGGGTGCAAATCATGACCGGCGGCATGTGCGCGGCCCAGCGTGGGGCCAGGGACGTAATGAAATAAGAAGAGGCGCCATGAAATCTGGGGAAATATCATGGCCCACGCCATGATATCCACCCCCCAGTCATCACCCCCCTCTTTGCCGCCCCCGACCCACGGCGAGACAGCGCGGGACACCTCCGGGAAGCCGAGAGACGCCACGGGGGGACACGCCTGGCCACCGCGCGCCCACGCACGCGAGGGCCAGACCTCTGCAGCCGCCTCGCCCCAGTGACGGCGAGAGCATTCCTCTCGCGCGCCCACGCAGCCTCGCCTCGCCCGCACGCGCGACGCGAACACGAGCACGGAGCCGATTTCCTGGTGGGGGGCTCTCCGTTCCACTGCGATCTCACCCCTCGACATCCGATGGGTTTGGACCGTACATGCCTGTCTGGTGCTCTTCACAGGACTGCAGCGCAGCCCGTCGATAACTTCGCCTTGTTCATCTGAAGCCTCCGCATCCTGGTGCTCCTCAACGACGTCGTCGTTCTAGCCATCTTGCGTCGTCGCCGTCTTCCCCGTTGTCCGCTTCCCTCTCCTCCTCTGATGGGGGAACGTTCGAGAGGAGGCGGCTCAGTGCCAGAAACCTCGACCTGGAGTCGGTGATACATCGCCGACAGATCAGCGATAGGCCTCCATAGCGAAACAGCACATCTCTCGGCAGGGTGGGCTGTCGGGCCCCTTTTCGGCGATGAATGGGCGATTGGGGGTCGATACGTACCCTCTCAACCTACCTCACTCTCTAACGTTGCCCATGGTGAAGCTCTTAAAACATAACGGATATTTAGCATTTCTCGGAGGTCCGCACGGATTTCTTGGGTCGGCGTTGGACCCCCAACCCTGTCCCTGGCGGGCTCCAGCACAGTGTTTTTCGTGTTCGTGTTGTTTCATTTTCCTTCGCTTGGTCTTCAATCTGCCTTTCTGCAAAACGAAATCGAAACGAAAACAACTCACGAAATCTTCAAAACACCGATTGGGTCGACCCCTGTTCCAGCGCCGACCCAATAGATCCGCGCCGACCACCGAAACACGAGTCTTTGTATAGCTGTTGTTGATAGCTTGATGCTCATCCTCATGCTCGAATCACTGCCACTGCGGCTTTCGAGTGATGCCTCGGGTCTCCATCAACCGCTCGGGCCGACGCGGGCATCCCCGGAACGCCCGGCGAGCCCTGGCCGAATCGAACCGCGAGATCAGATCGGATCGGGAACGGATCAGATCGCCAACGAGGCGTCCCGACTCGAATGGGAATCGTCTCGCCGCGCCTAGCCCTGGCTGGCCCAGGCTGGTGCTAGCGAGTCGGACCGCATCGGATCGAATCGGAGCCATCGCGGCCCCAACAGGGGACTCGAATCGCATCGCCCATGGCCCTGCCTCGGCGAGGCGCAGCTGCTGGGAAACGTCTCGATGCCAGAAGGGCTGAGGGACCGTACGGCAACGACGGGGGGTGTCGGCCTCTGAGACAGCGTGAGTTGTTCAGCTTGCCATCGCTCGGACGTCCATTCCCCGTGCCTTCTTCGGTTTCGTGCGTGTTTTTTTTGCTCGATGGTCCAGGATGGTCCTCGCCGGTTCTCGCCGAGAAACAGGCACAGGTCCGAGCGATGCCACGTCAGCCCTGCATGCTTGGCGGCCTCTTGATCGCCAGGTCGCCCCACACCGGCCAGAATCCCAGGGCCGCCGGGCGCCACCCCGGACGCCCGTGCCGGGGTCAAACGCCGCGCTGGCACGAGACGCGAAGCTGCAGCACGGCAGCGCCCCAGGAACCTCGAGCGTCCTCCGAGCGAGCTGGAGGAGATCTCTTCAAAGGGGACCGATCGGAGGCTGGCCATCGCTCGGACGTCCATTTCCTGTGTGTTTGTCGGTTTCGTGCGTAGTTTTTTTTCGCCAAATGATCAAGGATGCTCATCGATGGTCCTCGCCGGAGGAAAAATGCACACGTCCGAGCGATGCCAAGGAGGGGGGCTGGCTCGGGGGGGCATCGCGGCTGGAACCGACGACACGCGATTGAATCGGCGATGAGCCCCCGCTGGCGAATCCACACCCAACCTTGCCCAAGAGCGCCCTCGCTCTCGAGGCGGCGGCGGCGGCGGCGAGGGGCGACAGCGAGGGGCGGCGGCGGGGGGGCGGCGGCACGGCAAGGCAGGCGAGGGGGGGGAAGCACGTCTCGAGGACGTACAGCACCATGTGCAGCGGCCAGGCCTGCGGCGCGCTCGGGGGTAGTACCCCAGAATGAATCAACATCCGCGTTGAAGAGTGGAGTAGAGTGGAGTGGACTGACGTAGGTTGGAGCTAAGTAGACTGGACTGCACTGGATTGGGCTCTACTCCACTCTCCCCTCTACTCTGCTCTACTCTAGTATGCCCGTCTCTACTCGACCATCTGCCCTACCCTACACTTACTCTGCCTGACTCTACCCTACTCTATTCCACCCTGCCCTGCCCTGCTCTACTGATGATCTACTCGTCTCTATTCTACTAAATCCTACTCTACTCCACTTAGCCGCTCTGCGGTTGATCGGGAGCTTCTGTGAGTAGAAGAAGGGGCGTGTGCTTGTCGGCGAGAAGAATGGTCGGGAGACGGTAGAGTCCAGCCCCGCCCGCTCCCATGCCCGAAACCTCCACATTCTCCTGCACATCCTCCCTGGAAGTCTCGAGAGCTCCCTGGGGATAGCTTCTGCTCCGCCTCCTCCTCCTCTACCTTCTCCAACTCTCCTCCTCCTCTTACCCCCTCCTCATCCTGTTCCTCCGCCTCCTCCAACTAGCTCTCCGCCTCCTCCTTCCTCCTCCTCCTCCTCCTCCTCCTCCTCCTTCTCCTCCTCCTACGTACTCCGCCTCCTCTTTATCCTCCTCCTCCTCCTCCACCTCCTCCTCCTCCGCCTCCTACTCCTCTTCCTGACTCATCAAGGCGCGCGTCTGGGCGCCTCTCAACACTTAGCTATCTATGCATATGTAATGATAGCTGCCACACGTGCTCCCTCAGGGAGCAGACCAGCCTCGAGTCGCCTGAGGGCTCTCAGCCCATGCGCCCCAGCTTTCTTGCAGGGGGCAAGCAAACTCTTCAGCTGTCTGGCGGAGAAGGACCCACACACCATGCAAGCAACCGAAGGATTATTCTGTGCCCACAACGAGGGCACCGTATCAAGAACAACCAACTTATGCGGTCGCTCCCCACACTCTTCGAGTTTCTTTGACGCACGCACAGCTCTGGAGACAATTGAACCAGGACACACAGGCTGGCCTGGCTCAGAAACACGACAACGACGGCACCAGCGGCTACCGTCAGGACCATACCAATCGTGCTCGGAAATCGGTCGCTCGGGCCGAATCGGGCCGATCGCACGCGGCCGAATCGGTCTCGCCGACGGACGACTGGCCACACAGTCACGACTATTCACCTCGGTCCCGACAGTGCCAAGCCAGTGAGCAACACGCTCCACCATCGCACACGACTTCAGTCGCTTCTTGCGAACATCGGCAGGGACACGGAACCTAGAAGCAGAGTGCTTGGCCCAGACATCGGCCTGATGATTCCCGAAACGGTCGCGTCTCGAGACCAACCCCGACCCCGCGGCCTGGATGGGCAGATGCGCTTTTATCTTCCGCACCACCAAGCCGTTTTCGCCGAGACCTCCGAATTCCTCGAGAAGCGCCCAAAACTGCGTCCAAAGACATGCCCAAGCGCTACAATACGCTGTGGTCCTCACAGGGCCACGCTCATAAACTCCCTCAAAAACAAAGTTACTATCAGTCACCGCCTCGATGGGAGGCACGACAACTCTCAAAAGCTGAATGAGGGCAGTCAACTCAGCGCCGTCAATGTCACGGACTGGGCCCTCGCACGCTCCATACACAACGTCCAGAATTCCGAGCGGCTCCGACACGAGGGTGACGATGGCCCAACCAGCCACAGTCCCCGCGGCCCAGTCCCCTTCAAACACAGAACCATCGATAAACGCCTCACGTGCCTGAATCACTCCTGGCCCGTCGTGTCGTCGCCACACAATATGAGAATCACTAGGCGGCCTCCAACCAGCGGGCACCTGCGTGACTTCCCATAATCCTCGTTCCAGCAGCAGCGTCACAGCAAGTTCGTCCGCACGATCAGTGAGTACACGAAACTCTGACGGCATCGGTACACGATCGGCTCCCTCGCAAAAGAAATGACACTGAAGGAGCGTCCCCCTGCCGTCGCACAACAAACATTGCTCATCTGACACATATCCTGCTTCATGCTTCCTTGCCATCGGCCACTGCCCATTGACAAGCACTGATCTCAAGTACCCTTTTTGCATGCAGTCCAAACGCGGCAGGTGTTTGCACTCCTCCGAAATACAACGGCCCGTGGACAGAAGAGAATAGAGCGGCTCCCACACTGCACCTTTCGAGAGATGAGCAAGAGTCTCAGCCATAGAAACAGACATCCACTGCCATGCCAAGACCGCCCTCTCCAGCAACTGCGTCACATACCACGGACTCACATCCTGCACATCAATCACATCACCTTCATGAGTAACCCAGCGAAACGGTGTAAGTACAGTCCACCCCACCCGTTCTAAGGAAAGCCTGACGGCCCCACAGGGACCTTGAACCTGGGTCCAGTGCACAAGTCCTTGACATCCCAACATAGAAGCTTCCAGAACACGAGTGGGCACCCAAGACTCCCACAATGCAGGTACAAACGAGACAATAGGTAACAGAGTGGCCCTATACAGCGGGTCCAACTTGCCATGGCACAGAAACGTCAACGTTCGACTCTTGCCTGCCGTACGGGGTTCGATCGCAGAAAAGGCAAGAGCCCTAGCATATTCCAGCTCACCAGCGTTGCACCCAGTCACTGACATGCCATAGGTGTAGCTAGACTCTATCCCAGCACGAGCAATACGCGCCGCAACAAGACGCTTCTTGGATCCAATCCAAAACTTCCTCATGCGCCGAACCTTGAGTCGAGCCTGAGACACCTTCGACTTGCGAACCGTTCGGGCAATACGTCGTCCTGCAGTACAATCAACTCCCAAATTCCTCTCATGCGACACAGCAGCCGCGCCTGTGGCTCGAGCCAGTTGAGCCGCAATCTCCGACCGCGCCGACGAGTCATTAGAAAGCACCCTCGTTTTCTCATCCACCTCCTCCTCCTTCCTTTTCCTCATAAGCGGCCCCCCCCTTGTCGCACCAAGAGGCTGGTCGAAAGGGCGGGCTGGGCATTTCGCATGAGGCGTCCTTACAGAGGACGGGGGATTGTGGAGCCCCTCGGGGTTCCAGAGCGCGCGCGCGAGGCTTTCACACTGAGTTTGCGCGAGGGTCTTTCAATGCGGCGTACTCTGTGGCGTCCTCCTCTCCTTCCATCTCCCCCTCCTACTCCTCCTCCTCCTCCTCCTCCTCCTCCTCCTCCTCCTCCTCCTCCTCCTCCTCCTCCTCCTCCTCCTCCTCCTCCCATTCCCTTGTTTTGTCTCTCTCTCTCTCTCTCTCCCCCTCCCACAAAAACAAAAAAAAAAAGACCAGATGTTGTGTGTCCCGATGTTTTGTTAGGGGGGGGGGTCGGCGGCGAAAAAAGAATGCGACGTGGCCTCATCTGCCCACCCCCTAGAAGGATTCCTATTGAACGCCCCCGCAAGACGGATTCATAGTGAAATCCTCTACAGAAGGGTTCCTATCGAAACCCTCCACTGAGTGAGTCCTACTGGAATCCTCCACCTATGAATTCCTATTGACATCACCCGCAGAAGGATTGATATTGAGATGCTTCCAAAGAAACATCCCCCTTTGGCATTGCATTGGCATTGGTTTGGCAGTGGTTTGGCATCGCATTGGTTTTGCGTTGGCATTGCGCTTGGCAGTGCGTTGCTGGTGTGCTTGCATTTCGCAGGTATTGCGCTGGCGAGTCCCAATGGAACCCTCCACAGAAGGACTCCGATCGAAACCTTCTACAAGAAGGACTCCTATTGAAACCCTCCACAAAAGAAACTGTTCATATTGACACCCTCCACAGAAGGATTCTGTGCGATACCCTCCACAGAAGGAGCCCAATTGAAATCTACCACAAAGGATTTCCCCCATTGGCAGTGCATTGGCATTGGGTTGGGATCGCTTTGGCATTGGTGTGGCATTGCGTTGGGGCTGCGTTGGCATGGCACTGGCGAGTTCCAACACCTCCCTTCGCATAATGATTCCTGTTGAACCACCCACAAGAAGGAGTCCGATGGAAACATCCCACAAAAAGGGTTCACATTGAACTCCCTCACGGAAGGATCCCATACAAAACCTTCCATAGAAGGATTCTTCCTGAAACCGACCACAAACGACTTCCCCCATTGGCATTCCACTGGCACTGAATTGGGATCGCTTTGACAGTGGCTTGGCATTGCGTTAGTATTGCGTTGACATTGCGCTGGCGAGTTCTAGTGGCTTCCCATACAGAAGGATTCCAATGAAACAACCTTGCTTGATATTGAGATGCTTCGAGAGAAAGACCCCCCCCGTTGGCATTGCAGTGGCATTGGTTTGGCATTGGTTTGGCATCGCATTGGCAATGGCATTGCGCTTGGCAGTGCGTTGCTAGTGTGCTTGCATTTCGCAGGCATTGCGCTGGCATTGCGCTGCTCCACAGAAGGACTCCGATCGAAACCTTCTACAAAAAGGACTCCTAGTGACACCCTCCACAGAAGGATTCCGTACGAATCCCTCCGCATCAGGATTCCTATTGGGATCTACGAGAGAGCGTGATCCACCGCCGCTTTACTGTGGAAAATTGCCCACCTTTTCCTCCGGAACCCGGGGGTCCCCCCCCCCCCTCCGAAAATCCCCCCCTGCGGGAACCCCTCCTCCCCCCCCCCCCCCCCCCTCCCCCGGCAAACCCCCCCCCCCCCCTAAACCCCTCCCCCCCCCCACCCCCCCTCCCGCTCGAAAACCGAGGGGGGGTCCTACCGTTCCGATCTTGGCTCGCCCCTCCCCCCCCCCTACCCTCCGATCCGGAAAACCGGAGGGGGTCACTACCGGTTCGAACCCCCCCTTCCCTCCCCCCCCCCCCTACTCACCGCCAGCAAACGACTCCCGGTCCCCACCACCGTCCGCATCACATCCCCCACTGGTGTTCCCAGCACCACTGTCCTCACCACAGCTGTCCCCACTGGTTCCACCACCGCCCCTACTGTCCCCACCAGTGGCCCCACCACTGTCGCACTGTCCCCGCTGTCCCCAGAACTG